CATCTTTTCCCTGAGCTCGGACTTTTGATGTCTGTCATATCCATACAATCCCGACCTCCGCTCCGGGCTCCCAGAACTCCGAAACTGACTCTGGAGCCTTACTTCCCTTCTGTCACCTTCTCCTTGCCGACTCCCAAGAGGTTATCCCACCTCCGGCTCTGACACCACCTTCGGTCCGACTCCGGAACATTCCGGGTCTGACCCCAACCTCGACACCTTCCAGACGAGTATGCAACACCTATGCTCCCAACTCCGGACCTCTGCTCCGGAATCCCATTTGTGTTGTAATGGGTCTATTGCCTAGACTCGAGACAGAGAGAAGGGGGAGGGTGGTAGTGTGCGTGGGTGTGGTTCGTTGGGCCGGGTTTTGGTCCGTGGGTGCTACTGAGTCTGCAAAAACCTCAAACAAACACTCACCTACGTCTCTGGTCGTGGATGGCGTCTTTGCCACTTGGATGTAACTTCTGCTTGTCCCTTCACGGGTCTATTCAGTACTAACTTGTTATGTACAAGCTGTTATCTAGTTTATATATGTTTGAAATGGAATGAATGGCATGGGGGAATGTAAACGGGCCGTTAGGCAACCGTAAATGATGAATATCCAATTGGGAACAAAGAAACAATAAAAGAAATATGAATGAATGGGGAAAATGTGACAACGGGTCCGAAATGGGAATTGTGAAAATTAACTCCGCAACAGCGCCCGCCTATCCTCCCGTCAGCAACCTCCTCGTCTCCAGCTTTCCAACGAGCCCCTATTCGTCCCATTTGGTGCAGTACTTCTTGAGATGTGGCCATTGACAGGTGCTGTCAAGACCACGTGAGAGTATACTCCGTGCTGAACCATCCGGGTATGGGATTGCCATTCTGGGAAATGCTCCGGGGGTGAAGAAGGGTGGTAGAGCATCACTATCGGGTGGAAAAAGGGCTGGGTTGTGAGTGTGGGTATGGAGGTCTGGAGAGGGGGTGAAATTGGTGGCGTGGTTGAGCGTGGGAATTTTGCTTGGGGTTGTCGGGAATGATGGGGAAAATAAGGAAAAATATGGAGTGAGTGTATGGAGTGTTGGATAGTGATAGAATAAGTATCGGGAGCGTCAGCGGATATGTACTGCGTGTTGGTGACCAAATTCCGCAGAATCCGACTTTTTGCGGTGCGCGGAGTTGTCCCCACAACAGCGTCTCTGTCTCCGGAACCTCCAGTCTTAGCTCCGACCTCGGACTTTGACCCCACCTCCGCTTATACCCATTGTATTGGTTAGCTCATTCCATTTAATTATGTTTGCCAATATTCCGGAGTTTAACTTCCGAGTTCGGACTTTCCGGACTTACCTCGGACCTTGCAACTATTGCATTGTCCTATTCAATTCCGCTATTCTCCCTCATTCCTATTTGGGCTGCTGCTTCCTTTCTATTCAGTCAGCTGGCCATTCCCCACTCCCATCCTCCTTCCTTCCTCCTTGGCCTTGGCCCTTCACTCCTCCTTTGGGAAACACCATTGAGTCAAACCCTTGACCCTCGGTGTTGTTCCTCATTCCAGCTCCCTTTGTCTCCTTTCATCCTACCCTTGTCCCTTTTGATTCCGGACCCCTCCTTATATACAATGTACATAGTAACTTGTAACCTCAGTCCGAAATTGACCTGAAATGCCCCCAAGAGACTTTCCCTCTGCTAGATCCGAAATTAGGGACCCCCAGGACAACCAGCAATGGCACAGCGCTCCACCTGAGTCGCTGAGGCCGAGGTCCTTCCACACTAAGTCTCCAGTTCCCCTCCGGAATCATCCACCCTCGCACCATTCTAACAATGTCGCTATTCCCGTTATTGGATATCTCATTAATGCGTGATCCTTTTATTATGAAAATTTGGGTGGATTAAGATTAGATCCCTTCCTTTCTAATGGGCTATCAAGCTCGTCTCGGTCGTTACTGGTTATTCTTCGTGCTTGCTTTTTAAGCATTGTCCTCATTTTGCGGGAGTTTTAGTCATATCTCTGTCGTTTATGGGTAGTTTTGCCTGTAATTACTTTCATTGGGTCCGTTTGGGGGACATCTACATTTCCTATTATAAACACGACTTTGAATTTTGCATTAGTTCCTGAGGAATTTTTGTTCCGTGGTACTTCCATCCTCGGCTACATGTGCAGATGTGGGAAAGTAGTTTCCATGGAGGTTCTCTGGCTGTTTTTATAGTCAAATCTTGGTCGATTGTCCTAATTATTGGTTTAATATTTGCTATAAATTCCCCCGAGAATTCCGTCTTGTTGATGCTAAGCTTGAAGTATTTTTGCTAATTTTCTTTCTTTCAATTTATCGCGTATAGTCGTAATAATTCGTAAAAATTCGTAAAAATTCATTAAAATTCAGGTCCTTCTATTTTCTCATATCTACTTGTCGTATGAGGTTTTGTGATTTATCTGGCATATTTTCATAATGGGTTTCCATAGTGTGACCGTTATTTCTCCTACACTGCATCCTTCGGTGACCCCACTCATGGCATCACTTATTAGTCACCTTCCATTTATAGCATGACTATCTTCTTCTTCTTTCCATTCAGTTGGCTAACCCCCTCTTACCCATTTCTCGTTCCCATTCATCCTCCGGCCTCTTACTCCACCCTCCTTGACTTGACACCTCAGTTCCCCGTTAAGGATATCGTTTGGGACCTTTCGGTGCCTCTCGGTATCATTCGGCACCTTTCGGTGTTTTCCATTATCATTTGGACTTTGACTAAAGTCCTTCCCATTCCTCCATATATAAATACTTGTAGATTAGAACCTGTAGTTTTCCCCAGTTCTAATCTCGACTAAAATGTTACCCCAAGTCCCTCTGAGTGAATCCTGACCCCTTTCTACAAGATACCTCAGACACATGAAATACAAGGACTAACTGAGACATAACGGAGGCACAGCGCTCCCACCGAGTCGCTGAGGCCGCATCCTCCTTAGAGCCTCTTGTACCACCCAGCAGACCTGGGCTTCCTGGAGAAGCTTCGGTCCACTACCAGAGTTCTCGGATCCCCTCTAGTTGAGCCCCACCTGCATTCAGACTCACGCATTTTCCCCTATGTTCAGGGTTTTTGACACCCACTTCCCAATGTCACCTTCCTCCCCAACTGTCTCACCTCCGGCCTGGATCTCGGCACACTCAACCTTGGCCACTCCCATCCCGGAAGCTCAGCCCTGAGTCGGAACATTCAGAGACTCCGGATTTGCTCCGACCTCCCGACGGATCTCCAGCATCATGTGACATACCTCTAAACCATTCCTCCTCCCATTTCATTTAGTGGAGTCACCCAACATCCTTCAGATATGTAACTCCGGCTTCGGAGCTAACCACATCCTCTGGTGATCCCGCTCATGTCATCATAAATTAGTCACCTTCCATTTGTAGTACGACTGTTGTCTTCTTTCCATTCAGTTGGCTAACTTCCCCTTACCCATTTCTCGTTCCCATTCACCCTCCAGCCTTCTACTCCACCTTTGTCGACCCGACACCTCGGTTCCCTGTTCAGGATATTGTCCGGGACCTTTTGGGACCTTTCAGTATCATTCAGCACCTTTCAGTGTTTGTCAGTATCACTTGGACTTTGACTAAAGTCCTTCTCTTCATATACCTGTAGATTAGAACCCTTTGTACCTCAGTTCTAATCTCGACTAAAAGTTACCCCAAGTCCCTCTATGAGTGAATCCTGACCTCCTCCTACAAGATACCTCAGACACATGAAATAAATGGACTAACTGAGATGTAACAGAGGCACAGCACTCCCTACAAGTCACTGAGGCCGCGTCCTTCCTAGAGCCTCTTGTACCACCCAGCAGACTCAGGCTTCCTGGAGAAGCTTTGGTTCACTACCAGAGCTCTTGGAACCCCTCTAGTTGAGCCCTGCCTGCATCTGGACTCACACACTTTACCCTCATTTGGGGTTTTTGACACACTCCAGATTTCAAAGTGTAAACAAAAACAGTTATTTTGCTACTGTTAAAACAAGCAATAAAAATAAGATAAAAATAAGACAAGGCCAAGGGACACTTCAGACACAATCTAAACTCATTAATGGAGCAGAATCTTTGAAAATTCACCAAGTAGAAGATTTACTTCAGGTTAAAATTCCAAATTTAACGATCCTACACAGAATTATATCTAGATAAATTGAGAAATTACACTAAGGGAACAGCTCTGCAGGGCTTTGTTTATCTGTAAGTCATTTCTCAGAGATTTCAGACTAAGTGTCATATCCATCCACAGCCATCGACTTCCACTACCTCCGATCTCTCCGGACTACCTCTGCTCCTTCTTCACTAACCTCGGAGCTCCCATATTCCGCAATCACCTCAGTATCCCTCGATGGTCACCACCCCCTCTTTTCAATTTATTACCTACACCTCCCTAAGTATGGAGCCCCGAAGGCTTCCAGACAGCTCCGACATCTGCTAGCGCACTCCCACCTCCGCTGGGCAATACACTCACTTGCCCTGCAAGCCCACCTTCAGGCCTATCCCTCCTTTCCATTTATGGGTTATCACCTACCATTCCATTAACCCTGTAACCCAACTTGTCGGTAATATTCAATTGGCTAATGTCTAACCCCATTAGCTCCACTCTGCTCAGCTCCGCCATTCGCGGGCCCGCCCTCGTTGTAACTATATATACTCAACTTGTACATAGGTTACACCTCAGTAATAAAATCGACTAGAGTTTACCCCCCTTCAGTTCTGGTTGCCAGTTAGTAAGTTAGGGCACAGACGTGTTACTTGGCACAGTGCTCCTGGCATAAGTTGCTGAGGCTGAAGCCCTCTGCCATGGAGACATTCCTTCGTCTTGACCTGGTCTCTGACACTAAGCCATAAAATAGAATTCCCCAAAACACTTGGATTGGTACTATAATTACAACAAATCTACTAGTACACTTCCCCATCCAAACTAAAGAACTGTCAGGGCACACCACTCCACTCAGTGCCGCTCCCTCCCTTTCTCCTGTTAGAAACCACCTTGGCCTATAAGGGGCGTTTGGTGTAATGGCAACACACCAGCTTGGACCAATGTGGAGTTCTGTGGTTCGATTCCCAGAACGTCCAAACTTTTAGGTCTCATGACCACCCAAACTTCCAACATCTCCCTCCTCTCTTCCCTTCTCCTCCTTTCCTTCTTCCTTTCTTACATCTGTAGCATGGAAGCATCCAGTGCTGAGTACCCCACATGGTGCCGCACTGCCAGATGCGCCATGCATCCCTACTTGTACCTCTTTTCCTTAACACTTGGGATCACCTGCAGAGCCACCCACAATAGCATGGCTCTGTCCAAGGCTGATGTGGCACGTTCATGTGACCCATTCCCGCTTGTATATAAACTGAGCTGAAGCAGAACCAAAGAAGTAACCTTCTTCTCATTCCTGCTTCAGTCTAAGAAGCCAGAACAGGGATGCGAGCCCAAGTGAGGGCTGCCCACTATACATTCCCACTACTCTGCCGCTGCCCAGGCCACTATCCCCACCTCTCCTGCACCGTCCCTGACAAGAACCAGGGAACAGCTTGGTGGTGGTCTTGTCAGAACCTCCCAACTGACCTTTCTTCGTTCTCTCCTTCAATGCATGAGTTCAACAACATGTAAGAATGCACTCCTTGCTCCCAGACTGTCAGATTTCTAGTGATGCTGTCATGCCATACATGTCACTGTGGTGGTGGTATTGATCTCTGGCCCCACAGCCAGCCTCGTGGTATAATGCACTGCAGCCATCCATTAGATGAAACTACAGTGTACTAAGCAAGACCAAACTATATTGGAAGTGATATAGGACAAGAACTTCCTGTTGTGTAATATCTATAATGTAGTCCTCAAGGTTGTGCACAGAGAAAAGTAATTCCAGCATAGAATTATAGGCAACCGGATTTCCTCATAAAATCCAACTTTCTCTTGACCATGTCTATGTGATAAATCCCTGTTTCATCATGTATTTGACCAAAATCGTGTCATAAAATCTTGTCTTTCTGGAAATTTAATCAGCTTATCCTGACAAAGCAATGATAGTGTCTGCAATATATCAACTTAGTGTTGTGACGAATCCCGACATAATCATGTATTCATCAAAGACTTTCTTGAGCTCAGCAAGGATGCTATATTACATCTCAGCAACACAGACATGGTCAGCTTTGGATGCAAGTGTGAGCAAGCAAATGGCATGGGGGAGTGTCAGACTTAGGAGGCTACAACTTCGCTCATAACTCCTCAAGTAGTGGGCTATTCTCTTCCAAACTCGGCAGGTAAGTAGGTCTGATTCTCCTCTATCGATTGAGCCCCAAAGTGTATTTTGATGATTTGTAGATCGTGCTCGTGTCAAATTTTTCCATTCCATCCCCTAAAATGCACTGTTTTGTGTCGATCTCACCGAGTTTTCAATCAATCTCGGCGTTAAGCAACTCGTTAGAAAGCTACGGTCAATCCCTAAGACGTTTTTTATTATGAAAAGCCAGAGTTCGCATCGAACATGCATCGGGAAGGCCAGAAATGGGTAAGCACCGGGTGCAACCGCTTTCAGGGTATGGCATTCTTGGATGATGCAAGGAGCAACTGTGGGCAGTGTGAGTAGCATGGAAAGCAGCAATGCGTCTGCATCGGTCGACAGTAAGCAATGGTGCAGTGACTGAAGTGAGTGTTTGAGCGGACAGATGAACAATGTGAATGAAAAATAGAACACATTGACCTCAGTCCACAGTAAGTAGTGGTACAATCAGATGCAATGACTGTAGCAAGTAGGTCAGATGGGCATAGCGGTCGGGTGAGACAAGCAGAGGTGTTGGAGTTGCTGTATGTCAGGGACAGCTCCGAAAGCGGCGAGGTCCCTGCGCGCGGGACTCGGTAGGACGAGTAGCGGCTGTGCGTAGCGGCGATCCCGTCGCGGGGTGAGCGTCCCCGACCACTGAAGTGGGAAGTTGAATTATCATTAAAAGGGGAAGCTACAGTACTTACCTGAAGTGGGAAGTTGAGAAGAAGGCTGCTTCTTCTGTTCCCACCCCAGGTGCTATTATATACATGCGGCTGGGGTCACGTGGGAGGAGCCACATCATCCCTGTACACAGCCGCACTCCCCTGGGTATCTCCGTGGGAGATCCCGGAGGTGTGCCACTCTGTGAGCAGGAATGCGTGCGGCAGGCGCGGCGATCAGGGGAGTGGGGTTAAGTGTGTAGTAATACATAGAGAAGGGGAAGTCGACCATGGAACGGAAATAGAAAGAAAGAAGGAAAGAAGAAACAGGGAGTGATAGCGGGGGAGCGGAGTAGGGCGGTGCGGCGCAGGGTCAAGTGGGGGTGCCCTGACACTGTAGGAAGTTCAACAAGAATGGATGGAAAGGCAATGGCAGTAGTTCAAAGAGCAACAGGCAACAATGAGCAGCAAAGTAAACCGGGGGTAGCCTGTTAGAATTGCGGCATTAGAGAAAGTGTCATTAGATACCGCACCTCAGTGTACTTATATGCCTAACTAGCATGTGGCATAAGTCAAAGAACAATATACCATTCAGTAATGCCACTCAGAGACATTGACTGATATGACCGGTACAACAGAGAAAGCGGCAACATCCACTGACCTACACAGAAGTGAAGATCATGGTTCAGGTGTTTGAGAGGCGATGACAGAGATATCAATGAGTAATGTGTTTTACGATGAGCTTGGTGCATTGGGACAGTTCCACAGCCTTCCCCAGATGCTGGATGGATTGGCATGTGTCAGGGCACACCCACCTGACCCGGTCCCACCTGACCTGGTGCCCCACCATCCACTCCTCCCGACCTCCCCCTTTCCCTTTTACTCTCTCTTCTTTCTTCTCTTCTCTTTCCTCTTTCTTCTTTTCTTATCACATGGACAACTTCCCTTGTATCTGTTAGATCGGGTGGATTCGGACGACTCCGGAATGGAATTGGAGACTTAGTGTGGAAGGACCTTGGCCTCAGCAACTCATGTGGAGTGCTGTGCCATTGCTGGTTGTCCTAGGGGTCCCAGGTCCCCGACTTCGTCGACCCTCCTCCTGCTGATCCTCCCATCTCCACTGTCCCAACCACTGACGATGCCGAACCCACCTCCAACGTGGCTATTGCACAATTGGCCCAAGCCATTGCCAGTCTGGCTTGTCACACCGGACGACGACGACGACGACCATCTTCCGCTCTCCGGACCAAGGTCCGCGAACCCGAACAGTTCGACAGAAAGGATCCCCGAGAACTCCGAGTATTCTTGGTCCAATGCGAGCTCAATTTCCAGGACTGTCCCCTCGCTTTTGCTAGCGACCGTGCTAAAGTCATATTTGCGCAGTCCTACCTCAAGGGAATGGCCCTCGATTGGTTCGAGCCGGACCTGTTATTCGACCAGAATTCCACACTTCGTCCGCGATGGATGAACGACTATCAAGAGTTCGTTAATGAACTTCAAACTAACTTCGGCCCTCACGATCCTGTGGGTGACGCCGAGGTTCAACTGATGACCCTGGACATGAAGGATGGGCACCACATCAATAAATACGTCATCGAGTTCAATCGACACGCCTCTCAACTTCACGGTTACGGAGAAGCCGCACTTCATCGTTTTTTCTACAACAGATTACCGGAACGTATCAAGGACGATATTGCTAGAGTAGGTAAACCCTCTACTCTCTCTGAACTTCGCACCCTGTCCCAAACTCTCGATGCACGCTATTGGGAGCATAAATCGGAAGTCACACGTCACGCGAAACCCTCTTCCTCTAACGTTTTCGACAAGTCCACCGCCGCTTCTCGTTCCGACCCCATCCCTTCCTCCTCCTCTTTCAACTCCGCTTCCGGTAGTAGGCCTCCGAAGGACAATAAGAAGTCCGAGGCTAGCTCCGCAAAACCGGACCTCTCGTCTAAACTCGGAGACAATGGCAAGCTCACACCACAAGAGCGTAAGTGTCGTCTCGACAAGAAACTTTGTATGTTCTGCGGTCAGTCTGGCCATATGGTCAAGGATTATCCCAAGTCTTCTTCTCGCGCGTCTAAGGCCCGTTCGGCCCAGACCGAGGAGCAAGGATCCACTTCCGCAGAAGCAAAAAATTAGTCCGCACCCCTGTGGACTCCGCACGGACCGGGGGTTGCAATCCTTCCTTCCATGCGCTCAAAGAAGTGCGTTTAAATGCATCTTCCATTTCCGACTTATCCTCCCTCCACATTCCCGTTTCCTTTTCTCTTTCAAATGGTCTATTTTCTCCTCTCAATGTTGACCCTTCAGTTAATGTTCTACCTGTTGTAGATAATGTTGCTGATGTACCACTCTCTCCTCCGCCCCCTCCGACTACTTCCGTAGATCGATCCACCTCTCTCCACTTCTCTTCTTTTTCTCCTCCTGTTTCTCCTCCGTCCAATACCAGGACACAAAATAAACTTTTCCGCTCCTATGAGAACGTACCCGCACTCGTAGATTCTGGGTCTTCGGACTGCTTCATCAACGACACATTCGTAAAAAAGTTGGCCTTGAAGACATACCAGATTAAACCCCTACAACTACGCCTATTTGACAGTAGCACCAACTCAATCATAACCTGCGCCGTTGATATTCCCCTCCACTTCACTTCTGGAAACATCACCCCCACGACTTTCTTTGTCACATCGCTGGATGGATCATGTTCCCTAGTCCTAGGACACAACTGGCTTAACCGCTACAATCCGTTGATTGACTGGGTCTCAAGCAGTATTACGTTCCAAACTTCTGAACCTACCAAGACAGTTACTCCGAGCTCTCCCCCGTCGTCTCCGGTACCACTGCCGTCGTCCGACATCCAACCATCTGATGTTTCGCCAGCACCTCAGTCACAGGCTGTTACTCCTCCGTTACCATCTATCGAGTTCATCAGCCATTCCGCATTCGCGAAGGCTTGCCAACTTGAAGGATCGGTATCCTTCAGCCTAACCATCCCTTCCGAGGAAAGCCACTTGAGGGCTGCCTCATCCCACACCGACTCTGTCGACCTCTCGGCCGTTCTGAAGGAGTATCACAAGTTTGCGGATGTGTTCAGTAAGAGCAAAGCCTCGATGCTGGCACCGCACCGTGAGCATGACCTAAAGATCGACCTTGA